CCTATGTCCAAGACAATGGCCAGTCATTTGAACCCGTTTCTAAGACCTCCGAACAAACTAGTGATGACCACAGTTCCATGAACTCTAGTATTTAGAGGTTGTCGTTGTGGTGTTGAGACAATAGGGATGACTATTAATGATTGTGCACATCTTTTGGCACCAAAAAGGTCACGACCCCACTGGTCAAGAGAGTGAGTGATTCATTCTTGTTTTGCATGTCATATCATACCCCGGTGAGGACCTATTTTGCCCATTCTTTTTTTCCTTGGACTTGAACTCTATGCATGGTTAGTTGTGGTTGATGAGTGATCTACTTAAGACTTGCATTAATTCATGAACAAGGTGAGAACTTTTCGTTTGCCCGTTTTGGTGACCTCGAATGTTGTTTGTGGTTTTGGAGCTGGGTCTCATCAATCAAGCTTAGATTTCATCCTTGGAGTGAAGATTATCATCCCGGAGCATGTTCTTCCCATCGTTATGAGTATGACTGCTTTGTATTATGTTTTCCTCTCTCTCTCTCTCACTATGGTGTAGACCCTTCTCTAACTTGGGTATGAAGAACCCTAGTTCCTTTTGTTAGGGATCTTGATTGTAATGACATTTGGAGTGATATATTGTTTTATTGTAATCAATTGAAGTGTGTTTATTGAGTCATTTGAATCCTGATCAACTTCTTTTGATTTCTGCTGCAACCTGAGATAGATAGAATTTGATTAGGTTGTTAGAGCTTCTTCAATTGATAGGAGTGGATTGATTATACGAGAGTTAATCAATCCATTTCTTTGTACCGAATCCAATTCCAGTAGTGGAGTTCTGTGTTAACTGCCTTAGCTTTCTATCCCGGTGAAGACTAGTCGTCTGCTGGTTACTCTGTCTAAGAGGGCTTGGTTAGCTTAAGAGATTCCAAGCTACTATCGAATCTTCCGCAGTTTAATCAACAGTAAATCAACCAAAGGAAATTTCAACTTGGACCTAACTAAGGAGCTAGGGGCACTCATTCCCGAGTGACTCTTCTCTTGCTTTAGAAAACCGAACACTTTCTTGTTTTCTTACTGCTTTTGTTTACAATCACTCTCACTAAACTTAGTCCTGCTAGATAATAGATAGTCACGGAGTAGGCCGTAGATCTAGAGCCTGGGTTGATAAATTAAACTGACCACTATTCTACAGTTTCGGACTACGATTATACTTGGTCGTATTTTGGTGTTGTGTCATAGTGTGTCAAGTACCTTGTGTGAAATGGTTTGCTTGGGGACAAGCAAACGTCTAAGTGTGGGGGAGTGATTTGGGTCCAAATGTACACATTTTTTCCCTCATTTCTTGATATTTTGACTTTGCATTTCATCGTTCCTCGACATATTTCACGCTAGGTTGTGCTTGTTTTGATACATTTCAGATCCTAGCACGTATGGAAGGGTCGAGGTCGAATTTTGGGATAATTGGAGGTCAAAAAGTGCAAAACCGAAGAAGTGTGTCTAGAAGTTTAAAAGAATAAAATTTCTAACTACCTAATTGGAGACTTTCCCTCTAAATCAATCTCCGGTTTATGGCCCACTCTTCCTCTTTCTTTAGATTCCTTCTTTTTCCCCTCTAGCATGTCTTGCCTCTATTACATCAGCTTTTCTCTCTTGGTCGGCATTTCAATTAAGTGAATTCGATGAATATAAACAGCAAAATTGGCGACGGATGAGATAATTAAGCGAATTCAATTAATAAAAGCGGGAAAAGTGGTGGCGGGTGAGATAATTAACCGAATCCAAAAGTGAAAAATCGACGACGGATGAGATGAGATATACGAAGGTCAGGGGATAAGAAGAAGAAGAAGAAGCGCCATTATTGAATGACGAAGAAGGGGTTGCTTTTGTAAGAAACAACTGGGAGAAATTGAGAAAGGAGTAAGGAAGAAAGGAGAGGAAGGACAGAGGGACACATTTGCGGAAAAAGAAACAAAACGTGGTAATGTCAAATTACTAAGGGGAGGATGGTATTCTCAATTACTTTGAATGTGGTAATTGAAGCCAATTCCCATACCCTTTATGCTCTCTCAAACGTCGGTATTTAACCCAATTACTGCATTATGTGATAATTGGGTCCAATTACTGCATTACATTTTCACATCCAAACGACTCCACGTAGACCTTATGTAGGGATACTCATTTATTATTTATCACTTAAGCAAAGTTATGACATATGTTATTTATGTAGGTATCTTATTTAAATAATTTTGTACATTATTTGATTTCAACTAAATTATTAATTTCTTACCGTGGCGGAGAGCAGGCCAAAAGTACAATTTATTAGCCAAAGTTTCCGAATATCGCTCCCTCCCTACTCTGGCTTTCGAGGTGATTTGGTTACAATCACTTCTCATCAAGCTGGGTCAATCTTTACCCGACTCTCTCTTCTTTGTGTGACAACCTCGGTCCAAATTGTCGCCAGACTGTGACAATTGCCTCGTAGCAGTGAAGTGCAGGCGTCCAGGAAGCAGTCGCAGTTCACGGTCAAATAAGGGAGTTCACGGTATCTTAAGACCGTGAACTGGAACCACAAACCTTGAACATCGAGCAGTCCAGCGAGGTTTCAGAGGTTACTGACACCAAGGAAGTTCGCGGTCACTAAGACCGTGAACAGGGGGCCAGTAACCGTGAACCCAGGAGAGTGAAGCAGCGCGTTTTAGAGACGACACTGAGTTCACCGACGCATTTAGGTGTTCACGGCCGTGAACTGGTCACTTTCGGGCAAATATGAAGACAACAGCGGGGAGAGAGAAAGGGAGCTTCATTTTAGGTTAGGTTTTCATTTTTCGGAATAAAGAGGATTCTAGTGAGAGGTTATGGTTTCTTCTTGAGTGAGAAAGTGCAAATCAAAGGAGGAAGAAGGGGCTTTGGGCTTGTTCCTAGCTAGAGGATTGAAGATTTCTTCATCTTGAGGGTGTCTCAAGCAACAAGGAGGAAAGATTGACATCACTTCATGGTTATTTCTACCCTTTTTTGTTGTTTTCTCTTGTTCAGCTATGGAATAGCCTACCAACTCACTTGGGTTTTGTGAATCTTAGTTTCTCTATGTGTTAGGATGTAAGAACATGAACCTTTTGTGTTGATTGAGTGTTTTATATAATATTTGAGGTATTATTCATGAATGATTGAGTGTGCTAGCTTTAACTCAATATTGGGTGAAATTAACCTAGAGGGTGGAAATCCCCTCTTGGTCCAATTAGGAGCTAGACTCCTTAGCCACTTGGGTAACCTCCTTTAGGTCAATTTAAGACCAAAAACTCAAATATCGGAGTAGGGCCGTGATTCCACTAGGATAGCTCTCTCCGCCGGCCGTATTAAGTTCCGAGGGTTTGGTTTGCAATCCTTAGCTAGCTAGTTGAGAGGGTTAGGTTTCCCAGCCCATCGTTGTCACCCTTAGCCGAAAGGTTAAGTGAGTTAGCTTTCTAGCTGTTGCAACGATTCTCAATTAGCTAACTAAGAGAGAGTTAGGGATCTCCTTGGTTGATCGATAAAGAGGACTAGACTCTCTAGCTATGAATCACAATTCTTCCCCTAACGGTTAAGAGAGCTTGTTCCACTAGCTTACATTTGTTGATTTTCCTTCATTGATCGACTAAGAGAGTTTGTCCCTAGCTAGTTGCGCCCACCTGCGGTGAATGAACACGTCCTTCACACTAGAGCTTTGTTTGTCGCTTCTTAGGATGAGACTAGGGGGAGCAATACCCTGGTGAAGTGATCTCAAGTAGAATTCTCCTTCATTTACTTTTCTTGCTTGTTTTCAAGTGTTTTTCATAGTTTTAAACCCAAAACCGTTTTGCTAAATGAAAAGTTAAGCGATTGAAGTAGGGGTACATGGACCGGCCCGGGTTTGACAATTAAATACTTGCCCTATACTGCACCCGGCTAGAGTTTAAAAACTTGGGCTCTAGTTGGGATTAATTTGTGGTGCAGTTTCGTGCGAGTCACCTACCTAGCTCACAATCCTGTCTTTCACAATCTCTTGCAGCATATGGAAATTGAATTTCATTTTGTTCGCGAACGCATCAACAAAGGCCAGCTACGAGTCAATTATATATTTATATTCCTCCCTCTAATCAAATGGCCACCGTCCTCACTAAACAACTCTCACGGATTCCTTTCAATCATTTTTACTCCAAGTCGCACCTCTCTGAGGCTTCAATTGCGGGGGCGTGATGAATAACAAACCTTTCACCTACATCCCTCCCAGTTTGTGTTACCGTGTGTACATGTCTCTGTTTCTTTCTGTTTTTATAATCCGGAACCTTGGATGTTGTCGTTTGAAATTTGTACTATAAAGAATACTACATTCATCATTAATAGACACGGTTCAATAATATTGTCTAAAATAATATTTATATAAAAAATAATAGACACGATTCAGATGTTTCTATATTAGCGTTTTTAGACTTGATATGACCGTTAGAGGCCTAGATGCGTGAAGCCGCATATGCTGAGTGCAAATTGTACTTGTTTAGATTAATATGCGCGTTGCAGCAAGAGATAAGCTAAACTTATAATCTTTTGCTCAAAGCGTGTAACAACGTATATACTGAGATAACATACTTCAATTACGCTTTGTCCTCGCGCATTTCCACTCTGTTGCACCGTATTTATGTCAATACATGTCCTCCTACTTTACTCGTGATTTTTTATGCTCGCAATATTTATGAAATATATGTTGACATTTACATCGTGAATAAATGAAGTTGTAGAAATAAGAAACAGAAAGATGTAGGAATCCACAGAAGAAAGACCACTTTTTTGCACTTGGATATTTCTGTCGAACAGAGGTTTATATATAAAAATAAAAAACATACACAGATTCGTCACTCACTCTTACACCACCGTAATTCTTTCATCATACAAGTAAGTATTCAGTAACCAAGCAAACAACATTAGAAAAAGAAAACACAAAGCCCAGTCTTTCGGGGAGGTGAAATCAGAAGCAGAGATGGGTCGTTGTCTTGTAAGTTGTAACTCTCGCCCACCGAAACTCTTTTCTTTCAGTGCCTCCGGAGAGCAACAGCGGAGAGAATAACCAGCACCACGAACATAAGCACGGCCCCAAACCCGGCCACCACCGCCCCGCTCACCTTCTGGCAGAAGTCGCCGAACTGCTGACATATTGCCAGCCAGTTGGTGTTGCTGTTGCCGTTGTGCGCCAAGTACACAATGGCCGCCGCCGCTGCCGATGCCGCCGTGTTCAGAGTCAGCGCCACCTACATACAATCAGACGGTAAGTGAGCTCACTTTTTGACTCTATATAGTGAAGGAATCAAGTTGATTGGTGGTGGGTGCCCTTACGATGTCGAGAACGAGGAGGAGGAAGCGTGGAGCCGCAGCTTGCGGGCGAACGATGCAGACAATTGAGAATGGCAGGGAAAGCACCAGGTACCCACCAACGATCCCCATTGCTATTACGAAAAACCTGCATTGAGATGACATAAGATCTAAGGCATTGTATTGTATTGTAGCGTTATTGACCAGATGAGCTGGTTACGAACGTACTGAAACGTAGGGAGGTCGTCGTAGCTGGCTTGGAACTGGAAGAACTGAGTGAAGAAAGGCAGGGTTTCATCACTGGTTCCCATGGTGGCAGCTGCTGCGAGGGCGGATATGAGAGCTGCGAGCCTCAGGAGGAAGTCAAAGATGGCGACGCCTCTGTGGTAGCCACCTGCTTTCCCACCATGCTTGGCTGCTGCAATGATCGAGGCTTTCCCTCTTGGAACTGAGCTTGATTCAGGTACATCGATGGTGGTGGCTGCTTCTTTCGTCGACATGGCTGGCTGCGATTGATTTGGAGGCTGTAGGAGAAAGGGCTTTGATTTGTACTTGTGTTGATGGGAATGGAGGAGTGGAAGAATTTATAGGAGGAAGTTGAAATGGTGAGTGTATTCAGAGAGGGCTGGAAAGGGGAGTTGTTGGTTTTGCTTTCTTGCCACAGTTTGTTTCTTTCTGTTGAGTGGTTGCTCCTACTTCAGAAACAGAGCAATGCAATATGTGGGATTAACAACTCCTATTCATCTTGTCTTGGATTTGGTACCAAGAATACTGATTGGTCTCTTTCTCTCTCCACCACCAATTATCCATAAAAGAGACTAGTAACTGATTCATGGATGGCTTATTATATATCCAAAAATATGTATTTCGATATTTGTTACATGCAGCACTGAAGAAGAGACTTTGGTGTAGGCTGTGCAACTCTTCATGCCATACAGAAGCAGCAAGTCCTGACATTTCGAATCCTACTTAGTTTCATTACCTTTGGAAATAAATTAATCACCGCGAATTCAAACACAAAATTTCCAACATTCTCACGCTGCCGATTGAAGGGTTAGCGCAGAAATGCCATGAAATATGCACAAGTTTCTCATGAGGCTCCCGTGGTGTTGTGTTATCCACCTCTAGAGAAACCAAAGGAACTTGCTTCTGAGCTTCAGGAGTCAAGGGGTACTACTCATGTCGAGGAGTAATCACAAAAATCAAACCTATTAAGATGTGAGATGTGTTCTTGGATGAATCTGTGACAAGATCGTAAGTTCCAACATCAGACTATTAGGACCAAAGATATCAACAATGATCCATCCCAGCCAATCATAAACTCATACCCAACCCAATGCTGTGATAATTTAACCAGAAGAAAAGTTCAAACGTACTTGGGAAATGAATTTCGAGCCATGGCTGCAATCTGCTTCGAGTATATTTTGAGAGTCCTAAAAATACCCAAAATGCCACTTTCTCCGATCAATAAGCATCAGTCATCAGTAACTCACCACACAAGAGAAAAGACAGGGAGAAGTTCGGACTTCATGAAAGCACCAGCTCTGGAAGATGACGATCCGGCTTATCAGGTAATCAACTTCCCTGTGCAGCCAATGGAGCCAGCCGCTGATCCATCCAGTTGGCCTCGTGACTCTCTACGAATTTCCAAACAGAAGTCATTGATTCTTCCCGATATTGAACAAATTTCAAGCAATTTGATAAAAGCTTAGAGGTTCATGCGTATAGAAAATCGCAGGAGAAGAGTCCGAGAGCTCAAACCAACCCATAACAAAGGAAGTTTGGAGTGATAAAACCCAGCTCACTTCTCTTTCTCATTAGCTTCACTGCCATTTTATAGGCAGAACAAGGAAGAAGATGACAAACACCATTCATTTGTTTTGTAGTTTGGAATGGAAACTACCACTGAATTGGAACGAAAGAAAATACAACCAATTGGGAAAGAACGACTGCGTAATGACGCAAGTTCATTACAGCAAACGACATCGCAGCGAAGCATCTTCGACTTGATTCATAACGACAGCGCAGTGGGAAAGACTGGAAACGGCAGCGTTGCAAAGAGTTCCAGAATGGGATAGAACGACGTCGCAAAGAGGATGGCCGTTGAAATTGATTTTCAATCAGTTACCCCCGCAAGCTGGTGGGCAGAGATTTCGCACACCAAGCTTGGAGAGCAACGTGGTGAATGGCTCTGGGGATAGTGGTTTTGTGAATAGATTTGCCAGCTGATGAGAAGAGGAGATGTGAAGAAGTTTGAGGGTACCGGCTTGGAGCTTTTCTCTGACGAAGTGACAGTCCAACTCTATGTGCTTCGTTCTTTCATGGAAAGTTGGATTTTTTTGCTATGTAAATGGCACTTTGGTTGTCACAATAAAGGGCAGCAGGAAGAGATGTAGAGAGCTGGAAATCTTGCAGGAGGTATTGATGCCACTGGATTTCAGAAGTAGTGAATGCAAGAGCGAGTTACTCAGCCTCACACGAGGATCGAGACACGGTATGTTGCTTCTTGCTTTTTCATGAGATGAGAGAATCACCAAGATATATGCAGAAACCCGTGGTTGATCGCCTTGTATCCACACACGCAACCTAGTCTGAATCTGTGAAAGCTTTCAATTGAAAGGAACCCTTGGAGGGGAAGAACAGACCTGATGCTGGGGCAGATTTTAGGTATCTCAGAACCCTTAGAACAACCTTGTAGGGAATTGTAGATGGAGAGGTCATGAATTGGCTTAGCTGTTGTGTAGCAAAGCTAATGTATGGACGAGTGGTTGTTAAGTTGATTAGTTTGCCCACTAATGTTTTGTAGTGTTCTGGATCCTCGTATGGAATGCTCTCATCATTACTGAGATGTAACTTGTAGTCCATTGGTGTAGTAACAGGCTTTGAATCAATAACATTTGCTTCTTCAAGAATTTCCAATGTATACTTTCTTTGTGACAGATGAATGCCAGAATTTCTCTTTGCTACTTCAATGCCTAAAAATCTTATCTCAAGTTGCCAAGATCTTTGATGCTGAATTCTCTATGTAACAACTCTTTCAATGCTTGAATTTATGATAAGTTATTGCCTCCTAGAACCATATCGTCGACATATATGAGAATGCAGGTGTAGGTAGATGATGTGACCTTGTAGACCAGGGAATGGTCTGCTTTGCTTTGTATGTATCCAACTTGATGAAGCTTGTCTGTGAGTTTGGAGAACCACTGTCTGGAAGCTTGTTCAGTCCATAAAGTGATTTTTTAGTCGACAAACTGGGTTTGATATGACTGGAGGAGGAGTAAAGCCTTGAGGGAGTGTCATGTAGACTTCTTCTTGTAATTCACCATTAAGGAATGCATTATCCACATCTAGTTGATGGATATGCCAGTTTCTCAGGGCTGCAATAGCAAGGAAAGTCTTGACAGTGGTCATTTTGATGACTGGGGCAAATGTGTCTTGAAAATCAATGTCTTCTTGTTGTGTGTTGCCTTTTGCAACCAATCTTGCTTTGTGTCTTTCGAGGGATCCATCAAAAAGGAACTTGTCCTTGTAAATCCATTTGTTTCCAATTGGTTTCTTTCCTGGTGGTAGTGAAACCACATCCCAGGTTTGGTTTTTGATCAAAGCCTGAATTTCTTGTTGCATAGCCTGATTCCAGACATCATGTTTAGAGGCTTCTTTGTAGTTTTGTGGTTCTTGGTGACTGGAAATGCTTAGTAAGAATCTTTTGAATGGGAGTGAAAGATTGTTGTAGGATAGGATTGAGGAAAGAGAATACTTGTTGTCTTGGATCTTGTGCAGATTGGAGTGATTGATGCTGCTAGGACTTTGAGATAGAAAACAATGGTAGTTCTTGACAAGATGGGGAGGGGGTTTTGATGTTCTGTCAAAACGTCTGACAGGAGGTTGAGGGGGGGTGGTGGTGGTGGTGAAGGGGATTCAGGAGATGGATTATCAGAAGGTGATGGAGGTGGGGTGAAAGATGGAGAGGAGGGAGTTGAAGTTGATGAAGAGGGGTGGTTAGCACCATCAGTTGATGCAGAGGGTACTACATTGTGAGGTATAGGAGTAGACGTTGTGTCATGAATCATAGGAGAATTAGGGGAAGGAAGGGGGAATAGAATGTCCGGATTAGAGGGTGAAGGGTCTGGTTCAGGTTTTGATTAAAAAGGAAAGTGAGATTCATAGAAAATGACATCTCTGGAGGTATAAGTTCCATGACTTGATAAGTCATAGAGCTTGTATCCTTTGATACCAGGAGTGTGACCAATGAAGACGGATTTCCTAGCTCTGGGTTGGAATTTGGTTTTGTGGTTGGCCAGTGTGCTGGCATAACACAAACAACCAAAGACTCTCAAGTCAGTGAGGTCTGGTGGTTTGTTGTAAAGGGTTTGGAAAGGAGTTTTGTTTGAAAGAACAGGGGTGGGGACTCTATTGATTAGGTGTACTGCATGTTTGACAAAATCACCCCAGAAGGCAGGTGGTAAGTTTGCTTGGAATTGAAGGGCTCTAGCAATAGCAAGGATATGTTGGTGTTTCATTTCCACCTTGTTATTCTGTTGAGGGGTTTCAACACAGGATATCTCATGGAGAATGCCTGTTGAGTTAAAGAATTCTTCCATTTGAAATTCTTTGCGTTGGTCACTCCTAATGGTTTTGATGGTGAACTGAAATTGTCTTTGCATCTGGTTGCAGAATGCAATGAGTTTTGGCCTTGCTTCTTATTTTAAATGAAGGAGAATGATCTAGGTCATTCTTTTGTAGTCATCAACCACAATTAAGAAATATTTGAATCCATCATAAGAGGGGAGGGAGTCAGGACCCCAAATGTCCACATGTAAGAGTTCAAAAGGAAACGGTGTTACAGATTGGCTGATAGGAAAGGAAAGTCATTTTTGCTTGCCAAAATGACAAACAGCATATGGTTGATCCTTCTGTGTTGTAATGGATGTACAAAATTGGTTGAGAAGGGGAATTTTAGAGTGGGATACATGTCCTAGTCTAAAATGCCACAAATCAAAAGTGGATGTAGAGGCAACATAAATCAACTTAGGATGATGTGATGCTTGAAGGTAATAGAGTCCATTGTGAAGGCTAGCAGAACCAATCACTCTCTTCTGCTCCAAATCCTGTATAAGACAAGTGGTAGATTGAAAGGATAAGCTTAGTGGTGTTGTAGAGGTGATTCTGCTCACAGACATGAGGTTGAAAGTGAAATGGGGAACAAATAGGGCATTGTGTAGGGTCAAGGCATCATGGCATTTGGCTGTGCCAGTGTGAGTTGCCTGTATTTGAGCTCCACAGGGGAGAGTGATGAACACATTTGAGAAAGGTTGTGGATTTGTTAAGTAGTCTAAGGAGCAGACTGTGTGGTCTGAAGCTCCAGTATCAACAATCCATGGTTTTTGTAGATTGGTGAGAGCATTCAAGACAGGAATTGAGAGAGAAGGGGTGGGGAGTATACCTTTGTTGGTGACAAAAGCAACAGCAGAGAAAGAAGGTTGGTTCTTCTGAGCATTCATCAGACTCATGAGCTTGTCATAGTCTGCTCTGGTGAGCTTGACCTCATCAGGTGAAG